ACAAGCGACACCTTGATACAAGGCCCAAGATGTTCTCCTCTTCTCTAGCTCTCTTAACTTATTTATACTTATTTATATACCAATGAAGCTACTTAACTACAGTGATCGTTGTACAACCCTTCGTGGAGATTGTCGTTGTCGAGTAGCGAATTGTCTCTGGGGCCAAAATCTTTGTTGATTTTGGTATCTTTGTCATCATCTTCTGTATTTATTATTATGGAGTTTTCTAGTCAGGGGAGTCGTCAGGTTCTGGTGGCAGGTCAAAGGAAGAAGTCGGTTGTTGGAGGAAAAGTAGGTTGTCGGGGAAAAAGTTGGCAGATTCTGACGACAGTTCATTTAGCCTGACGAGTATGGTGACCCTTTCAGTCTATACATGAATCCCTTTAGTTTTTTTTTTCTTTTTGGAGACAAAGCTTCAATAAGAATGAGAAACCCATGAATACAGAAAAGATATTCTTTCCTTAGCCCTTAACTTAGTTTATTTAATAGCCATTTCATTAACCTTTGATGAGTACATTTTTTTTAGAAGATTATTGTTTAAGTTTGTGGATTTTTTGGATATGATGTTTGTCCAACTCAAGTTACACCCCTTACGGAGTTTGTCGCTGCCAGGTGGAGAGTCATCTTTGTTGTCAAAGATGATCGTTGTACAACCCTTCGTGGAGATTGTCGTTGTCGAGTAGCGAATTGTCTCTGGGGCCAAAATCTTTGTTGATTTTGGTATCTTTGTCATCATCTTCTGTATTTATTATTATGGAGTTTTCTAGTCAGGGGAGTCGTCAGGTTCTGGTGGCAGGTCAAAGGAAGAAGTCGGTTGTTGGAGGAAAAGTAGGTTGTCGGGGAAAAAGTTGGCAGATTCTGACGACAGTTCATTTAGCCTGACGAGTATGGTGACCCTTTCAGTCTATACATGAATCCCTTTAGTTTTTTTTTTCTTTTTGGAGACAAAGCTTCAATAAGAATGAGAAACCCATGAATACAGAAAAGATATTCTTTCCTTAGCCCTTAACTTAGTTTATTTAATAGCCATTTCATTAACCTTTGATGAGTACATTTTTTTTAGAAGATTATTGTTTAAGTTTGTGGATTTTTTGGATATGATGTTTGTCCAACTCAAGTTACACCCCTTACGGAGTTTGTCGCTGCCAGGTGGAGAGTCATCTTTGTTGTCAAAGATGATCGTTGTACAACCCTTCGTGGAGATTGTCGTTGTCGAGTAGCGAATTGTCTCTGGGGCCAAAATCTTTGTTGATTTTGGTATCTTTGTCATCATCTTCTGTATTTATTATTATGGAGTTTTCTAGTCAGGGGAGTCGTCAGGTTCTGGTGGCAGGTCAAAGGAAGAAGTCGGTTGTTGGAGGAAAAGTAGGTTGTCGGGGAAAAAGTTGGCAGATTCTGACGACAGTTCATTTAGCCTGACGAGTATGGTGACCCTTTCAGTCTATACATGAATCCCTTTAGTTTTTTTTTTCTTTTTGGAGACAAAGCTTCAATAAGAATGAGAAACCCATGAATACAGAAAAGATATTCTTTCCTTAGCCCTTAACTTAGTTTATTTAATAGCCATTTCATTAACCTTTGATGAGTACATTTTTTTTAGAAGATTATTGTTTAAGTTTGTGGATTTTTTGGATATGATGTTTGTCCAACTCAAGTTACACCCCTTACGGAGTTTGTCGCTGCCAGGTGGAGAGTCATCTTTGTTGTCAAAGATGATCGTTGTACAACCCTTCGTGGAGATTGTCGTTGTCGAGTAGCGAATTGTCTCTGGGGCCAAAATCTTTGTTGATTTTGGTATCTTTGTCATCATCTTCTGTATTTATTATTATGGAGTTTTCTAGTCAGGGGAGTCGTCAGGTTCTGGTGGCAGGTCAAAGGAAGAAGTCGGTTGTTGGAGGAAAAGTAGGTTGTCGGGGAAAAAGTTGGCAGATTCTGACGACAGTTCATTTAGCCTGACGAGTATGGTGACCCTTTCAGTCTATACATGAATCCCTTTAGTTTTTTTTTTCTTTTTGGAGACAAAGCTTCAATAAGAATGAGAAACCCATGAATACAGAAAAGATATTCTTTCCTTAGCCCTTAACTTAGTTTATTTAATAGCCATTTCATTAACCTTTGATGAGTACATTTTTTTTAGAAGATTATTGTTTAAGTTTGTGGATTTTTTGGATATGATGTTTGTCCAACTCAAGTTACACCCCTTACGGAGTTTGTCGCTGCCAGGTGGAGAGTCATCTTTGTTGTCAAAGATGATCGTTGTACAACCCTTCGTGGAGATTGTCGTTGTCGAGTAGCGAATTGTCTCTGGGGCCAAAATCTTTGTTGATTTTGGTATCTTTGTCATCATCTTCTGGATTTATTATTATGGAGTTTTCTAGTCAGGGGAGTCGTCAGGTTCTGGTGGCAGGTCAAAGGAAGAAGTCGGTTGTTGGAGGAAAAGTAGGTCGTCGGGGAAAAAGTTGGCAGATTCTGACGACAGTTCATTTAGCCTGACGAGTATGGTGACCCTTTCAGTCTATACATGAATCCCTTTAGTTTTTTTTTTCTTTTTGGAGACAAAGCTTCAATAAGAATGAGAAACCCATGAATACAGAAAAGATATTCTTTCCTTAGCCCTTAACTTAGTTTATTTAATAGCCATTTCATTAACCTTTGATGAGTACATTTTTTTTAGAAGATTATTGTTTAAGTTTGTGGATTTTTTGGATATGATGTTTGTCCAACTCAAGTTACACCCCTTACGGAGTTTGTCGCTGCCAGGTGGAGAGTCATCTTTGTTGTCAAAGATGATCGTTGTACAACCCTTCGTGGAGATTGTCGTTGTCGAGTAGCGAATTGTCTCTGGGGCCAAAATCTTTGTTGATTTTGGTATCTTTGTCATCATCTTCTGTATTTATTATTATGGAGTTTTCTAGTCAGGGGAGTCGTCAGGTTCTGGTGGCAGGTCAAAGGAAGAAGTCGGTTGTTGGAGGAAAAGTAGGTCGTCGGGGAAAAAGTTGGCAGATTCTGACGACAGTTCATTTAGTCTGACGAGTATGGTGACCCTTTCAGTCTATACATGAATCCCTTTAGTTTTTTTTTTTTTTTTGGAGACAAAGCTTCAATAAGAATGAGAAACCCATGAATACAGAAAAGATATTCTTTCCTTAGCCCTTAACTTAGTTTATTTAATAGTCATTTCATTAACCTTTGATGAGTACATTTTTTTTAGAAGATTATTGTTTAAGTTTGTGGATTTTTTGGATATGATGTTTGTCCAACTCAAGTTACACCCCTTACGGAGTTTGTCGCTGCCAGGTGGAGAGTCATCTTTGTTGTCAAAGATGATCGTTGTACAAAGCGAATTGTCTCTGGGGCCAAAGATGCTAGTCGTACACCGTAGGGTGGTGAATCTTTGTTGAGTTTGTCGTTGCCAGGTGCAAAAACGTCTATGGGGCCGAAGATGATTGTCTTACACCCCTCGCGGAGCTTATCACTGTAGAGTGGTGAATCTTCTCTGGAGTCAAATAAAATTGTCGTACATCCCTCGCGGAGCTTGTCAATGTCAGGTGAAGAATCGTCTCTAGGCCATAGGAGCACGGTTCTAACCTTTTACTTGCATATGTTCTTGTTTGTTCGGTGGAACCTCCTCCTTAGGTTAGGTCCCCTCTCTATCAGAGGAGGCCGCCTAGACTCTTCTCCAGGATGATTGTCATCGTACTCTTCACAAAGCTTGTCGCTACTGAGCAAGGAATCGTCTCTGGATGTTTGTCTGATCCGAACTACGAGACTTGAGCTCATTGTAAGAAAAGTCTTGTGACTAGCCCTTTGGGGATTTTTACCGATCGGACGTCCATGGCATCATTGTCGGTTTTTCTACCCAAGTTCGAGTTCCCCAAATAACAAGTGGTCACCGACATGCAAGAGCTCCTTGACCTCGCCAAGCCTTGACCTGATCTCTCACAGAGAAATTCAAAACATTATTGTTCATGTGTAGCATAGAGTAAGCTTGGAAGAACATAATGTGGTTATATGGGTTTGGAGCCCTCTAGCTGGAACAATTAAATATCCATGGAGTTTAACTCAAAAGGATTGGGTGTTCTATAAATCTTTCCTGACTGGAAATGGACGACCGGAGACAGATGACCTAGCAGAGGGTAGTCTGTCGGTGGATCACAAAAATAATATAGCGATGTAGGTCCAAGTATAAGTTGAGTGGTATGTAGGTAAATCTAAGTGTAAATTGAGTGGTAGATATGCAAATTTTCCCTGTTTTAACTTAGTTTTGCACAGAAGCCGGTTTGGATAACATAAAGCTGCAGATTTGATAACTCTAGATTTTTTATCTCCATGGTTTCAGATATGAGAGGAGTGCTCGGATGGCTTGAGGAAGGTCGGTGAGAGGGTGGAAGATAAGATTTTGAGGTAACTCCAAAATCAAAATGGCAGAGACCAGTTAATTCTATGAAGCCTGGAAAAATGGTTGGCCCCTAATGATTTGGGTTTCTTAGCATCAAATATAACATACTGAACGCATGAAGATTCAAGTGGAAAATCGTGCAGATTCGGACGCTCACTAATCTGCTTCCAACGGCTCCGAAAGAATTAAAGGCTGCTCCGATTTGATCTAAACATTTTACACTTCTTCTCGAACACTTGCTATTGCCAAAATAAAGCATTTCATGGATCTTTTTTCCCCCTTATCAAAAGTCAGCAAAAATGTAAAGAGGTACGCTGGTCTAGAGCAATAGGTTGAAGGTTCACTAAAATTTGAGTTTTCATTCTTTGACTGGATGACTGATCGATTAACAAATTGTGGGCCGACTGTAAGCCCCACAGGTGATGAAGCAGCCGGTCGAAAGGGGAATTTAGCTAGTAAATTGGATTTTTTGAGTTTGAAGGAAAAACAGTTGTGAGACTGTCCATGCAGATTTTTGCTCAACAGAGAGGCATAATCCAAAAATCACATTACAATCAACCAAACTTTCAGAAGGAATCAAATAAAGTGGGCAACCGGGTGACATCCGGTGATCTAATCACCCGAGCAAATAACTTCAACATATTACTGAATTTGATGGGAAATGTTTGCTCGTCAAACTCAAAGATCAAACCATAGAATTAAGGAACGCATCAAATGAAATAAATTTCAATGCGTGAAATTCGAATTTTAATTATAGCTTCAACCGACCAAATTTGAAAGTTCCCAACATTCAACACTATTAAATGAACACAAAAAAATACCTTTTTTTCTGTTCATTCAGAATCAGTCTACTCTAGTCTTCTTCCCATTGCCCATTCTCTGCTTCTTTAAAGCCACATTTGTAAGAACATCAGCCACCTTCCTCGCTGTTGGCCGCTCCGCCGGAGTCATCCTCACACACTGAAGAGCTATATCTAACAAATCGATGGCAGCCGATTCCTCTCCGGCAGCCAGAGGCTTAAGGGAAGGATCGACCACTTCCTCCAACGATCCCATGCTCATCTCAATCCATCTCACCATATCAATGTCTCCACCAAATCTCTGATCAGTCGGCATCAAACCAGTCACAAGCTCCATTAGAACTATCCCCATGCTATAAACATCGCTCTTCTCTGTAGCTTTCATGGTGTAGGCGTATTCTGCGGTATTTGACCAAGCAGGTTGAGTAAATGTTGCTAAAAAAGGTAGGGTTAGAATTTGGATTTTTGTTACTTGCCTGGAGCGACGTAGCCATAGGAGCCGGCAAAGACGGATGCGGACTCGAATTGGCCGGCAGATTCGGCGACGAGGGGTTTGGCGAGGCCGAAGTCACCAAGGTGGGCTTCCATGTCGGCGTCGAGGAGGACATTGCTGGACTTGATGTCTCTGTGGATGATCTTCGGGACACAATCATGGTGAAGATATTCAACTCCTTTGGCGAAACCGATAGCAATTTTGAGCCGAGCTCCGAAGCATAATTTATTTTTCATCTTATTTGGTCGGTGAAGCCAGTCCCAGATGCTCCCATTTTCCATATACTCATAGATGAGGATGTTTCCTCCGTCGCCAGAGAAGAAGCCGAGGAGTCTAACGAGATGTCTGTGACGAATACGGCCGAGGGTTTTTATCTCTCTCGCGAAGCTTTTGTCGGCGAGGAAAGGTTCTTTGTCTTCTTCCGCGAAGATTCGTTTCACAGCCACGGTTTCGCCGGAGGGGAGTTCTGCGCGATAGACGGATCCAGAGCCTCCGGAGCCGACTATGTACTCTTCGCTAAGATTGTTCGTCGCCGCCATGATCGTCTCCCGTCGGAAATCTCGTCGGTCGGATCGTTTCCTGATTAACTGGCGCTGCACTTGCCCGGAGCTCGACGAGCTGGCGCAGTTCACTTCAACTGCTTTTCTCGAAAAGCGCCCTTTAATAGCGATGGCGAGAGCCATGGTGAGGAAAAAAATGGCGATGGTAACTAGAGCGGTGGCGACGGCGATGGATGCGGTTGTTGGCGATGACTGCCTGTGGTGGTTGGATGGAGAATATTCCTTACGGCATTGTTGCATTGGCGGTCCGCATAGAGCGAGATTTCCGGCGAAAGATTCTGGCGGCCACCGTGAGAAATAATCGTCGAGGTTCCCTGCGAGCTTGTTGTATGAGAGGTTTAGGGATACCAAACTGCTCAATCTTCCTATCTGGTGTGGGATTTGGCCGGTTATGGAATTATGGGAAAGATTGAGAGATTCTAGCTTGTAAAGAGTTTCGAGCGAAGGGGGGATTTCGCCCGTGAGTTTATTGAAGCTGAGGTCGAGAGCACTCTGCAATTCCGAAAGTTTTCCGAGCTCCGCCGGAATATCGTCGGCGAATAAGTTGTTTGACATCCGGAGATCATATATCTTGCTCAGTTTCCCAATTGATGTTGGGATATTACCAGAGAACCGGTTGCGACTGAGATCGAGTACATTGAGGGAAATTAGGTTCCCGATTTCCCACGGGATTGATCCATTAAGATTGTTATCATTCAGCTGGAGCCGCAAAAGCTTCGAGCAGTTGAACATCTCAACAGGCAGAGAACCAATGAAGCCATTGGAAGATAGCTTCAGCTCTCCCAAATCCGGTAACCCTCCAATCCACGCCGGAACCTCTCCAGTGAGTTGGTTACCGTTGAGGTCGATGTGGGTGAGTTTCTTGCAAGACGAAAGCTCCGGCGGTATTTCGCCAGAGAGACGATTGTCGGAGAGATCAAGTAGCGACAGCGATTCGATCATCCCGAGCATTGAAGGTATTTCCCCAGCAATTCTATTGCTCCCGAGCCGTATCCTCTCTAGGTGAGCGGAGTTCCCCAAATGAGCAGGAATATCGATATTGAACGAATTGTTTGTTAGATCGAAGGAGAGGAGAGAACTCGAGCCGCAAAGAGGAAGGATGCTTCCATTAAAACGATTATTCGAAAGATTGACTCTGGTGAGATTCTTACATTCGAAAATCTCATCGGGAATGATTCCTTCCAACGAATTGTTATAAAGCATTAGTTTCTCCAGAGATTTTAAAAAGCCCAGCTCCATCGGAATCCCTCCAGTGAGAACATTGTCGGCGAGATCAAGAATCGTAAGCTCATTGCAATTGCCTAGAGTTGCCGGAATATGGCCCGAGAGCGCATTCTGCCGGAGATGGAGCAGATTAAGCTGCGTCAACTGCCCGACTGTTTCCGGGATTCTCCCGGTGAACTGATTTCCAAAAAAATCCACCATCTGCAACTTCGAACAGTTACCGATCGCCGCAGGGATTTCTCCAGTGAACCTGTTTTCGTACAGGTACAGCACTTCTAAGCTCTGTAATAAGCCGATTTCCTCCGGGATTCCACCGATGAGATTATTGTGATACAGAGCTAGAGTTTCCAGCTTGCTGAGATTGCCGAATTCTCGGGGAATGAAACCAGAAAAACTGTTGTTATTAAGAGTGAGATCAGTGAGCTCAGAGAGAACTCCTAGCTCCGGTGGAATGTAGCCTGAAAAGCTATTGTTGGCAAGATCCAGTGTCCGGAGTGACATGCATTGAGCGATCGTAGCCGGAATACGGCCCGTAAAGTTATTGTCCGAAGCCATGAGATGCTCCAAACTAATCGAACTCCTCCGGCAGATATTTTCCGGCAGCTCACCGGAGAGCCGGTTTCCCGCCAAAACCAGGAAGTTGAGTTCCGGTAAGTCGCCAATTTCCTCTGGAAACCCGCCTTGGAGCCGGTTTGTAGACAGGTCCAGTACCCTAAGCCGGCTCAACCGGCTGAGTGATGTCGGTATTGAACCCTCCAACCGGTTCGCCATCACATTAAGGTATTGCAGCTGAGTTAATTCACCTACCGCTCAGTGAGTTTTTAGCAAGGAGCAAAGTTTGTAACTGAAGGAGATCGCCGAGCTCCTGCGGAATACGGCCGGTGAGCTGGTTTCCGGCGAGTGCGAGCACGGTGAGTTCCTGCAGGTTACGAATCTCCGGCGGAATCGGACCGGTAAACCGGTTCATGCTTAAACTCAAAATCTGGAGATTTATGAGCCGGCTCAACCAAATCGGAATCAAACCGGTCAAATTACAAGAAGCTAAACCCAAAACCGTTAGATTTTGAATATCCCCAATTTCCTCCGGAATAGAACCGGAAACGCCGGGGTTGTTGCCAATGCGTAAGACTCGAAGTCCGGCGATCCTTCCGATGCTCGCCGGAATCTCGCCGGAGAGATTGTTTGAGTAAAGTAGAAGCGAAGTGAGGCTGCGGAGGCTCGAGAGCTCGGCCGGTATTTTGCCGGAGAGGTGGTTGGCAGAGAGGTCGAGGACGGCGAGTTGGGTGAGCTGGGTGAGTGCGGGGGGTACCTCGCCGAAAAGACCGGCGGAGGAGAGGTTTAGAGCAACCACTTCGCCGGCGCCTTCGCAGAGGACTCCGGTCCAGTTGCAATGATTTGGATTTGTCGCGGGCGACCAGTCATCGAGGAGGTGGAAAGGGTCCTCGGAGAAGGAGCTCTTTATGTCTAAGAGAACGTCGGCGATGGACGATGAGGCGGCGGAGGAGAGGTGCGAGAAGAGGAGCGCGAATACTAAAGCAAGTTTGATGGCCATGGTTCGATTCTGAGAATCATGCATGGATGCATGGAGAGGTTTTAACGTTGGTTTGACGTCTCGTGAAGCGCGATCGGCCATTTAATTGCGCCGATTTGATTGCGAATCGGCGAGGGAGACTTGGCCGAGCTCGAATATTAAAGCAAGAGGGAAAGGCAGTTGGCTTCCTTCATTAACGAGGAAAGCGAACGGTTTGGTTCGCTGTAGCGGCTGGTGTGGCAGCGGGGGTGAAGTTGGACGGATGTGCACGTGGCAGATGTTGAATGTTGGAGGGTGTGATTTTGGGACCAATAGGAGAGGGAAATATTACCATAGTTTTTCCTTTTTATTTGAATTTCTTAAATTTTACAAATAATAAACATTAAGAATTTTAAATTTATTGGATATATGTTAAGATTAATAAGTTTTAATTAATTTAAATATAATATTACTGTTATGTGTTGGCCAATTGGTGGTGGTAGAGTATATTGACGTTTGTGTTGTAGAAAAATCCAGCCCATGGATAAATAAAAGAGTTGATAGAGGTGACAATAGATTTTTACGTGAAAATCTTGAAATAGATAAACATCTCATGACCAAATTCAGTTGAAATGATTTCACTATGACAATGTAAGTTATAAAATTATACAGATTGTTGAATAGTCATAAGCAGTATTACATAAATGAGAGTTATCAACGAGACTTTCACTTGGTGGGTGACGCTATACGTTGAAGATGTGATAGCGACCTAGATGTTGTGAAGGAATTCTGATGATAAATGTCATATGTCATAAAATCTTATGTTAGTGTCATCGGTAGCAACCACCTGATGATGATGTTTGCTGACGAGGATGGTGGTAACAAGATAGAGGAGATTTGAAGTTGACTATGACCCAACAATGATGGTACAGTACTGATGACTATGGTGGTCGGGGAATGCTGTTTCAATTATGGAGGTGGCCAGACGGTGGTAGTCTGGAGGTTGTGACAGTGGTGCCTAACAATAGTGGTTTGGCGATGTCAGTGACCGGACGATAGTGGTCCGACGATGGTGATGGAGGTGGTCGGCCAAGTTTATGTTATACGGTGGTAGCAACTAAACGGCGGTGGTCTAGCGATGATGACGTTGATGGTCTAGCTGTGATGGTGGTGGTGGCCAAGCTTGGTGGTCTAGTAGTGGCAACGACCAGACGACATTGGTCTGACAATAATGGTAATGGTGGTCGAGCAATGATTGTAAAACAGTGGCGATGACTAGATGATAGTGGATTGGCGGTGATGATGGTAGTGACCGCGCAGTGGTGTTCTGGTGGAGGTGGCAGCCAAACAGCGATGAACCGAAGGCGACCAGACATCAGTGATCCGACAACGACCAGAAGACATTACTTTGACGGTCGGTGTGCTAGACGATGATGGCACGACAACTGTTGTGGCCAGATGACAGTGGACCGATGATGGTTGCGACTAGATGATGGTGGTCCAGTGAAAATGACGGTGAGACAACAGTGGTTTTGCGATGGCGACGACATGACGACAGCAGAGTTCGGGAACGCTTAAGTCCCCCTTGTGAAAGAGAGTGGGGGTCGATTTATAGATTTTTTTGTATTGGCATCATTCATAAATATTGCATTTATTTGAACCACTTCATCGAATAACTCCCTTTAATGTTTTTTTTTCAAAGAAAAGCAAAAGGAACTGAAATAAAGATTGTGCACTGATTATATTATTTTAAATGGTGGAAAATTAAAATTATTATTAATTAATTTGGGAATAAGCGATAATAAATAATAAATTTACTGTTGAAGATCCGACAGTTGACTCAATTCAAATATCTATAGGACCCAAGTCCAGCAAATAAAACAAGGACCAAACATCATCTTTGATTCTTCTTGGGGGTGGGGTCATTTACATAAATACCTCGAAATTCTTATGTATTTATATCTCCAACACTTAAATTCATATTTACGTTAATTTCACCCAAACCTTTCATATCACATCTAAAATATAACTATTTTAATTTTAAAAAGTGAAATATAGGATTTCATTCATAGGTAAAATGATACATATGTAAAAATTAAAATTCAGATGTTTGATATGTAAATACATAAGAATTAGTGGTATGTATGAAAATCTTCCATTATTTTACGGGAAGCTTTGTCCGCACAAGCCCATAAAAATGTGAATATTACGCTCTCCGACGCTATTGATTTATTTATGAATGAACAATTAGAGTTAAATTTAAAAGCATGTTGTTGGACCCTCCAATTTGCTTGCAATGATCTTCTCCTTCAATCACTAGGCCTCTATTCTTTTCTCTTGCCCGTTATATTTTGTGTTAGTAGCAGGGAAGACACCAAAATTTTTTACGTGGAAAAATTCAAAAAAAATAAAGAAAACTACAGTACTTAATCCAATAAAAGTAATTCACTATAAATACACACCATTTTATCACAACTAGGAGAGCAGGGTTATAATTTTACATCAAATACAACACGTGTTTACATGCAATGTATAGATAACTTTATGAGTTTGAAAACAATCATCATATTTTGAATACGACTATTGTAAGTAATAGTCGCGGAAAATTATCATCAGATTTTCAATACGGCATTATCTATTATGATCTTATTTTAGATATGATGGTAGAAAGCATAAGTTGTCGGCGGTGGTGTGTGAGAGTGACTGGCAGTGGTCTATGGCGATTGATTGGTGGTGGCCGACAACGTCCGACTGCTATAGAGATTGGAAGTTCTCGTCGAGCATTGAATGCGACGTTGCACATTACAAATGTATTTGGGATACATCGTTAGCAAGTAGAGTCACTAATAGCGTTGAGAAATGGCGGTCGACAGTGGTCGAAGAAGGCTGATCAGTAGTGGTCGACGATGGTTGGTGACTACAAAGACCAAAAGTTATCATCGGTTCTTTAATATGGTGTTGCACATTGTGACAGTATTTGAGGTACATCATTAGCAAGTATGTGTTGGTGATGACGGCAAACATGGGTGGCTGGCGGTGATCCACGACGCGTGACAAGTGGCCGGAGTTAATCGATGGCTACAAACGTCCGAATGTACAATGTGTTGTGAAAGAATAATAACCGACGGCAATAAAATGAAAAACAGATCGAGAAAATTACACCCACAAGAAACGACACAAAATTTACGTGGTTCGGCAAATTGCCTGCAAATTGCTTACGTGGTTCGGCAAATTGCCTACGTTCACGGAGCTGCAGAGGACTTTATTACTTCGAGGAAATTACACCGTCGAGTGTCTCGACGTTACAAAAAAAACTCTCTCTCTCATCTCTCTCTCTCTCTCTTCTTTCTTTCTCTTCTCCTTTTCTTCTCTTCCCCTCTCTCTCTCTCTAAACCGAGAGTCACACCGAAGAGGAGAAGAACCAGTACGAAGCCTTTTTTTCACCTCTTCCATTAGCCAAACACCGAAGCCAAGAAAGGGGGCGCAGCGATCAAAGGAAGAGGCCTCACACACAGCATGCGATGCCTTCCTGTAGCTTTTAAAGCTCTTGTTCGGTCCGTTAAAGGCAGTGCTTCAATTCGCAAAATCCATCAAGGAGCCGGGAGAGCGGGAAGCTGTTCTGGAAAGAGGAGATAGCGGGACCCTCCATAGGAGAGAAAGAAGGTGGGTCCGGAAAAGAAAAGCGGGAGATTAGATTGGAAGGAGAATTAATTAATTAAGAAGAAGTTAATTAATTTCTTAATAAGAACAATGGAACAGACTCTACTTATTCTCAACAATTCTCCCACTTAGAGACTGAGACACTGAATGCATCTCCAATCATTGATTGACAGCGTCGCCCCTTTCTTTAACGCGATATCCTCCACCTCTGCAACTCAAAACCCCCCCAACTGAAGTCGAGCACAACTTCAGTTTCTCAAGTGTAACACCCTTGGTTAACATATTAGCACGATTTTTGCTTCCACAAATTTTCTCAAGTAGTAATTGTCTGTCATCTAACACTGATCGAATAAAGTGATACCTGATCTGAATGTGCTTGGTCCTAGATTGAAATGCTGGATTTCTAGCTAGGAATATGGCGCTCTGGCTATCACTGTAGAGAGTGCCTTTCTGAACCTCCTTACCTAATTCCGCCAAGAAACTCTGCAGTCATATCATCTCCTTAGCAACCTCTGAAACTGCAACATACTCAGCCTCTACAGTGGACAAAGAAACTGTCTTCTGTAAATTAGAACCCCATGACACTGCAGTACCGCCAAGAGTATAAACATAACCCGTAGTACTCTTCCTACTGTCAATGTCTCCAGCTAAATCTGCATCAACATAACCCTGTACCTCTAGGCTCTTTCCTGAGAAACACAAACAGGTTTTTGAAGAGCCTTTTAGATATCTCAAAATCCACTTCACAACTTCTCAATGTTCCTTCCCTGGATTACTCATGTATCTGCTTACAACTCCCACTGCATGGGCAATATCTGGTCTAGTTAGACCATAGCATACATAAGTGAACCAATAGCTGAAGCGTAAGGAACCTTACTCATGTAATCTTGTTCCTCCTCTGACTTGGGTGATTAATTTTTGCTGAGTCTGAAGTGACTGCCTAAAGGTGTGCCAACTGGCTTGGCCTTGTTCATATTGAACCTACTAAGCACATTTTTCACATATTCAGCTTGTGAAAGTCTCAAAGTGCCTTTGACTCGATCTCTAACAATCCTCATGCCAATGATTTGTTTTGCCGCTCCCAACTCTTTCATTGCAAAGTGCTCTAACATCTGCTTCTTCAGATTATTGATCTCATAAATGATGGCGCTTGCAATAAGCATATCATCCACATACAGCAACAGGATGATATAGAAATGGTCAAAGTACCTGACATAGCAACAGTGATCCGTCTGGCATCTACTGTATCCAGCATTTTGCATTTAATTATCAAACTTATTGTACAATTGTCTGGGAGCTTGCTTCAGACCATACAAGCTCTTCTTCAGTCTACAAACTGAATCTTCTTTTCCTTGTACCACGAACCCTTCAGGCTGGTGCATATATATGTCTTCTTCAAGGTCTCCATGAAGAAAAGCTGCATTCACATCTAATTGCTTCAGGAATAGATCTTCGGTAGCAACCATAGCTAGGACCATCCTAATGGTTGTGAGTTTTACCACAGGAGAAAATATCTCAGAGTAATCAATGCCTTGATTTTGTTGAAAGCCTTTTGCAACAAGTTTGGCCTTGTACCTTTTACTGCCATCAGGCTCAGTCTTTACCCGGTACACCCACTTATTATGCAATGCCTTCTTCCCTGGGGGAAGTTCCGTCACATC